AAGCTTTCATTCCACAAATTGAAGTTCCTTTAACATATTTACACAACATTAAAACTCAAAACACCCCAATATCTCTTTATCCAGTGTTCAAATTGCATGTGTGTAAACAGTCAGCAGAGCCCTAAATGTAGGGGTGAGCAAAACCGAACCGAAACAGAAAAAACGAGCCCAACTGTTGTATTCGGTGTGGTTTTTAAATAGTTCGGTTACGGTTCGATTTGGTTTTCAAAAAACCGAAAACAATTCAGTTCGGTTTTGTGTCCGAATGATGCGAATTTAACCGAACCGCACCGAATGTGATAAAGGGTCAATTTATTACATAAAGGCAGTACAGTGTTGTGATGAGCTAGACACGCATTTCAATCAATTTGTACATACAATTATCAAATTAACTAACATTACATAAACTGATTTCATTTTAAAACTTAAAATACAAATTTCTTTTCTATTCTTGCCCTAATTTGCTCTCATTCTCAACTATCGTCTCCCGCAGGCAGAAGCTGCATCTTGCTTTCACTCTCAACTCTCAACCACGATCTCAGTCATCGAAGCTCTCAACTGCGCTCACAACCACGATCTCAGTCTTCGACCCTCCAGCCGTTCGGCAGTCGCTCGTCAATTTAGGACAATCTCACTCTTCTTAATATTTTTTTTTTCTCATTTCATCGTCTTTCTTCAGTCTTTGAGAGAGTGTTGCAGTATTGGATCTGAGAACCAATTATTTAAATATTGCTGGACGATGTAATATGTTGCTGGACTTGTGTAACAGTAATGAACTTATATGATCCTATATTCCGATGATGTTATTGTTGTTTTGTAATGCATTGTGGTTGTTTTGATTTGTGTTTAGCATTTTATTTTAATTACGGTTAACCGAAAATCCGCACCGAACATAACCGAAAATTTCGGTTCGATTTGGTTCGGTTTTTCTTTCTTTTGCGGTGCGGTTCAGTTAATAAATTCCACATTTTCGATTTTCAGTTTTCTGCGGTGCTTGACCGAACCGCACCGATGCTTAGCCCTACCTAAATGTCACTAGTCCATGATGGAGCTAGGGGTGACCGAACCGCACCGCAGAAAACCGAAAACCGAAAATGTGGAATTCATTAACCGAACCGCACCGCAAAAGAAAGAAAAACTGAACCAAACCGAACCAAAATTTTCGGTTCGATTCGGTGCGGAATTTCGGTTAACCGTAATTAAAAAAAAATGCTAAACACAAATCAAAACAACCACAATGCATTGCAAAACAACAATAGCATCATCAGAATATAAATCATCAGAATATAAGATCATATAAGTTCAATACTCTTACACAAGTCCAACAACATATTACATCATCCAGCAATATTTAAATAATTGGTTCTCAGATCCAATACTGCAGTACTCTCAAACTGAAAAAGACGATGAAATGAGAAAAAAAAATATTAATAAGATTGAGAGAGTGAGATTGCCCTAAATTGACGAGCGACCGCCGAACGGCCGGAGGGTCGGAGACTGAGATCGTGGTTGAGAGCGCCGGTGGTGAGCGCAGTTGAGAGCTTCGATGACTGAGATCGTGGTTGAGAGTTAAGAGTGAAAGCAAGATGCAGTTGCTGCCTGCGGGAGACGATAGTTGAGAATGAGAGCAAATTAGGGCAAGAATAGAAAATAAATTTTTATTTTTAAATTTTAAAATGAAATCAATAAATGTTTATCAGTTTATGTAAGTTAATTTGATAATTGTATGTACAAATTGATTGAAATACGTGTCTCGCTCATCACAACATTGTACTGCCTTTATGTAATAAATTGACCCTTTATCACATTTGGTGCGGTTCGGTTAAAATCGCACCATTCGGACACAAAACCGAACCGCACCGAATTGTTTTCGGTTTTCTGAAAACCAAACCGAACCGTAACCGAACTATTTAAAAACCGCACCGAACCGCACCGAATACAATGGTTCGGCTCGGTTTTTCGGTTTCGGTTCGGTTTTGCTCACCCCTAGATGGAGCTTATTTGCTCCCAAAGTACACAAACCCCTGCAACATGGCATAAATATTAAAAGCACACTTTCAGTTTCATACCTCTCCTTTTCCACCAGCAGCAGCAAACAAAAATGTCAGAGAAAGAAGTTCTTTTTTTTTCCTTTTTTTTCTTTTTCTCGATCTTCCTAAGCCACTGCCTCACGTTTAACAGTTAGTTCCGCCCGAAGATGAATGACGCCATTGATAAAATAAGGACTGTCATCGGCCATAAAAGATTCCCATGGGATGCTGAACAAATTCCGGTACCCAACTGCCTTCCCACCCGTAAAGACATAATTGCCCTTGTACTTGCTGATGTAATCCTCCAGCGGCTTCGACCTGGCGGCAAACTCATAGTCGACAGCAAACATAACCGAGCCCTTCTCCTGCATTCCCAGAAAAAGCCCGAAACAGTTAAACGAGCTCTGCTGGTCCATGTTGCAGTGGGCCGAAAGAAAGAACCCTTGCCCACCCAAATGGAAGGCCTGCGAGTAAACCCGACCAGAAGGGTAAAGGGCCCCACACTCATCCTTCTTGAGGTCCAAGTAGACCACGCACTGCTGGCGGGGGGAGTCGAACTCGACCATTTTAACGGGCCGGTACCTGTAAGCCCGCTCGATAAATCTACGGGCCGTACAGGATGATTCCTCGGAAGCTTGGGCCCGCTGGCGATGTGGAGCCTCTGCTTTGAAGAAAAGGGCGTCGAGCACGGATTTGGTGGTAAATTCGCGGTCAAAGTCGAGACAGGTGAGGACTTTCCGCAGCTTGCGGGAGGTCATGTAGGGGAATCGGATGTAGCGGCCAAGGCGCGTGCAGAGGATTTCACGGCGCTCGTCCGGCTTCGGGTAGTGTGTTCGGGACCACTTGAGGGCGATGTCGTAAACTGCGTCCTCCGACTGTACTTGAAGGTCGTCGCTCGATAGGACGGCTTCGATTCCGGCGAGTGGTAGGTTCATGACCTCGTCTTGGTACCTGCATATCAGAAATAGGATCAATGTTGGGAGGGTAAGTATTCGTTTGGGATTTTTAAAGACTATAAGACTTCAGAAATCGTGGTGTATTTTAAATTTTTAAGACTTCTAAAAGTCTCAAGGTATTCATTTGAGGTTCTAAAAAGTCTTACAAAATCCTGAGTTATTTAACTTATTGGAGACTAGGAATTGTTAAGACGTTTTAAGATTTAATGAGATTTCAAAAGAAAAAACCACTATATGAATTTTCGCTCCAATCTTACCTCCAAACTTAAGAATTCATAGGATTAACAAATATGAAAAATCAGAAAATCTTAAAATGTCTCAGATCTCAAAAAGTTTCAAAATGTCACTCGAAATCCCAGACAAATACACCCTGCAATACAACATTTATATTCGGTTTTTTAAAATCAAAGTGTTGAATGTAATTAAAGCAATGCCCTTGAGATTCAGTCATTTGATCCTCAAGAGGATATTGTAATTGTGGATGTTTATCTTTGTAATTAAGCTACAAGTGGGTAGATTTATAAACAAAGAGTGATCCCTTTTCCCCTTGTCGAAACATTAAAGCCTACACCAGAACACAAAACAAAAAACATGAACAGGAAAAGGGAAACGAAAGAGGAAAAATCAGTTTAGATATATATATTTTCTCTATTTTCAATATTGCTTAACAAATCCCCATGAGGCCAGCCGAACTTACTTTGAAACATCTGTATAGCGAGATGCCAAGAACTGTTTTGCTGCATCTGTAAGCGGTTGAACAGCTTCAGCCATTAGAACACTGGAAGGAAGATCGAGATACAATAATGCTGACTCTGGAGTCATAGGAAGTTTTCTCAGCAGATGACTACAATATCTCATGCACGAAGCCACCTCAAACTTGTCGGCAGCCATTAGAACATCCAACAAAGAAGGGGCTGTGTCAGAATTTAAGGTACTGCTGTACATAAAATTCAGGAGCTCCATCAGAGCAGTTTCCTCTGATTCATCAGGGAAGGCACAAGTCAGGTAATCAAATGTTAAC